ATTCACTGAAGTGTTATGAATAAATTACATCAATGAAGACATGATACGTATTCACTGAAGTGTTGTGAATAAATTACATCAATGAAAACATAATGATATGCATTCAATGAAGTGTTATGACAAATTACATCAACGAAGACGTAATGATATACATTCACTGAAGTGTTATGACATCATAAATTACATCAATGAAGACATATAATGATATACATTCACTGAAGTGTTGAAATCATAAATTACATCAATGAAGACATGATACGTATTCACTGAAGTTTTATGACAGCATAAATTACACCAATGAAAACATAATTATATAGATTCACTGAAGTGTTATGAATAAATTACATCAATGAAGACATGATACATATTCACTGAAGTGTTATGACATCATAAATTACATCAATGAAAACATAATGATATACATTCACTGAAGTGTTATGACATCATAAATTACATCAATGAAGACATGATACGTATTCACTGAAGTATTATGACATCATAAATTACATCAATGAAAACATGATATGTATTCAATGAAGTGTTATGACATAAATTACATCAACAATGACTTGATATGCATACACTGACTTCAGAATTGTTATGACATCATAAATTACATCAATGAAGACATAATGATATGCATTCAATGAAGTGTTATGACATAAATTACATCAACGAAGACATGATATACATTCACTGACTTCAGAAGTGTTATGAAATAAATTACATCCATAAAGACATAATGATATGCATTCACTGACTTCAGAAGTGTTATGACATCATAAATTACATCAAAGAAGACATAATGATATACATTCACTGAAGTGTTATGACATCATAAATTACATCAATGAAGACAATGATATGCATTCACTGACTTCAGAAGTGTTATGAAATAAATTACATCAATGAAGACATGATACATATTTACTGAAGTGTTATGACATCATAAATTACATCAATGAAGACATAATGATATACATTCACTGAAGTGTTATGACATGATAAATTACATCCATGAAGACATAATGATATGCATTCACTGACTTCAGACGTGTTATGACATCATAAATTACATCAATGAAGACATAATGATATACATTCACTGAAGTGTTATGACATCATAAATTACATCAATGAAGACAATGATATGCATTCACTGACTTCAGAAGTGTTATGAAATAAATTACATCAATGAAGACATGATACATATTTACTGAAGTGTTATGACATCATAAATTACATCAATGAAGACATAATGATATACATTCACTGAAGTGTTATGACATCATAAATTACATCAATGAAGACATATAATGATATACATTCACTGAAGTGTTGACATCATAAATTACATCAATGGCACATGACACGTATTCACTGAAGTGTTATGACAGCATAAATTACATCAATGAAAACATAATTATATAGATTCACTGAAGTGTTATGAATAAATTACATCAATGAAGACATGATACATATTCACTGAAGTGTTATGACATCATAAATTACATCAATGAAAACATAATTATATGCATTCAATGAAGTGTTATGACATAAATTACATCAACAAAGACGTAATGATATACATTCACTGAAGTGTTATTACATCAATGAAGACATGATACGTATTCACTGAAGTATTATGACATCATAAATTACATCAATGAAAACATGATATGCATTCAATGAAGTGTTATGACATAAATTACATCAACGATGACTTGATATGCACACACTGACTTCAGAATTGTTATGACATAAATTACATCAATGAAGACATAATGATATGCATTCAATGAAGTGTTATGACATAAATTACATCAACGAAGACATGATATACATTCACTGACTTCAGAAGTGTTATGAAATAAATTACATCAATGAAGACATAATGATATACATTCACTGAAGTGTTATGACATGATAAATTACATCCATGAAGACATAATGATATGCATTCACTGACTTCAGACGTGTTATGACATCATAAATTACATCAATGAAGACATAATGATATACATTCACTGAAGTGTTATGACATCATAAATTACATCAATGAAGACAATGATATGCATTCACTGACTTCAGAAGTGTTATGAAATAAATTACATCAATGAAGACATGATACATATTTACTGAAGTGTTATGACATCATAAATTACATCAATGAAGACATGATATGCATTCACTGACCTCAGAATTGTTATGACATAAATTACATCAATGAAGACATAATGATACAGTATGCATTCAATGAAGTGTTATGACATAAATTACATCAACGAAGACATGATATACATTCACTGACTTCAGAAGTGTTATGAAATAAATTACATCAATGAAGACATAATGATATACATTCACTGACTTCAGAAGTGTTATGACATGATAAATTACATCAATGAAGACATAATGATATACATTCACTGAAGTGTTATGACATGATAAATTACATCAATGAAGACAATGATATGCATTCACTGACTTCAGAAGTGTTATGAAATAAATTACATCAATGAAGACATGATACATATTTACTGAAGTGTTATGACATCATAAATTACATCAATGAAGACATAATGATATACATTCACTGAAGTGTTATGACATCATAAATTACATCAATGAAGACATAATGATATGCATTCACTGACTTCAGAAGTGTTATGACATAAATTACATCAATGAAGACGTAATGATATACATTCACTGAAGTGTTATGACATAAATTTCACCAATGAAGAAATGATATGCATTCACTGACTTCAGAAGTGTTATGAAATAAATTACATCAATGATATACATTCACTGAAGTGTTATGACATGATAAATTACATCCATGAAGACATAATGATATGCATTCACTGACTTCAGAAGTGTTGACATCATAAATTACATCAATGAAGACATAATGATATGCATTCACTGACTTCAGAAGTTTTATGAAATAAATTACATCAATGAAGACATGATACATATTCACTGAAGTGTTATGACATCATAAATTACATCAATGAAGACATAATGATATACATTAACTGAAGTGTTATGACATCATAAATTACATCAATGAAGACATAATGATATGCATTCACTGACTTCAGAAGTGTTATGAAATAAATTACATCAATGAAGACATGATACATATTCACTGAAGTGTTATGACATCATAAATTACATCAATGAAGACATAATGATATTCATTCAATGAATTGTTATGACATAAATTACATCAACGAAGACATGATATGCATTCACTGACTTCAGAAGTGTTATGAAATAAATTACATCAATGAAGACAAGCCATGCATGGCACAGTCCCCGTTAGTTATCAAATTTTAGATATATAGTTTTGTTTATAGTAATATAGCTGGAATATAACCATGTCAGGAATATGATTTTTTAACATTAAAATGATTGACATTTGTATCTGATCGTCAAACAAGTACTTGTCCATATTGAGAGATATTGCTCTGGAACAGCATTCATAATCAGCCATTTTGAATACATGTATATATATAACATGATGTATAACAAATATATAACATTTGAATATAATCAGTCAAAGCATTTAAGAGATATGGCTCTAGAAGCCCAATCATTAAAACAAAATGGCCGCCAGTCAGCCATTTTGAATCCAATCTGAAAAATAAAATGACGTGCACCAGGAACCCGTTATGTCTAATGTATGTACCAAGTTTGAACGAAATCCATCCATAAATGCCAGAAATGCTTGATATTTGATGATTTTTTAGCACAAAAATGGCCACCATTTGGCCATTTTGAATCGGATCGTTGAACCAATACATCTGTCTATCTATGACATGATGTATAATGAATATATAAAATTTGAACATAATCAGTGAAAGCAAGTCAGAGATATGGCACAAGAACCACATTCATTAATACAAAATGGCCGCCAGTTGGCCATTTTGAATCTTATCTGAAAAACAAAATTATTTGCATCAAGGTCTCATAATGTCTAATGTACATACATGTACCAAGTTTGAACAAAATCCATCTGTAAACAGCCGAGAAATGCTTGATTTGTACGATTTTTTAGCACAAAAATGGCCGCCATTCGGCCATCTTGAATCAGATCGTAAAACAAAATGATGCATGTCCTATAATGTCTAATGTATACACCAATTTTGAACAAAATCCATCTGTAAACAGCTGAGAAATGCTTGATTCTGATGATTTTTAGCACAAAAATGGCCGCCATTCGGCCATCTTGAATCAGATCGTGAAACAAATTGACGTGCATATGTATGATATCATGTATGATGTATGTGTGAAGTTTGATTGTAATAGGTCAAGGCATTTCTAAGATACAGGTTCAGACGCACGCACGCACACACTGAGGTCAAAACATAAGTCCCCGTTTTCGGACTGCGTCCGAACGGGGACTAACAATGATATACATTCACTGAAGTGTTGTGACATCATAAATTACATCAATGAAAACATAATGATATACATTCACTGAAGTGTTATGACATCATAAATTACATCCATGAAGACATGATATGCATTCACTGAAGTGTTATGATGACATAAATTACATAAATGAAGACATAATAATATGCATTTACTGAAGCATGCAGTGATTTCAACATCTAGTAGTAATATTATAATGACAGATAACAGCCCAAACACAAACATTTTCAGTGTCGTGCGAATATTTGTGACGAGTTACGAGATTCTATTTCAGCAACGTAGCGTATGATGTAAAGAAAGAGAAATGTTTTGAATGCGCCTTCTGCAACAACCTGGAATGCTTTCAATGTTGGTAATGTAGCTGACCTAAATAATGTATTTGCTCTATTAATAGACTTATGGAGATGTTTTTATGATCAAAATATTTTGTAATATAGTAATCTTTAATATACAAAAAGGTAATTTTATTACAATTAATTCAAATTTATGTTTATATGCGCTACTATTAATTTAAAAGCAAATATGATAAGGACAATTTTGATCAATGCAAATACGTCTTTTTACAAAAACGTAAAATTCTAGATTGATATTTAATACCTTTATGTTTATTAAAATCCCAATTGTGTATAATTCTTGATGGTATGATAGCTTCATCATCAGTATGGCATTCATAGCAATAATAACATCCATCATAACTGCATACTTTAGCTCTACCATAAACTACAGAGAAAACAGACATGAGTCACATTCAGTAATACATTGCAACTGAGGATTGTTCACAATTTTATTACATTTACAGGTGTTGAATGGAATAATGGAAAAAAAATGTTTTTATCTGTTTAGTTTTTCGGATCATATGATTAAAATTTTGGAAGAAAATATGAAAAATGTTTTTTGTTAATGTTTATTTTTTTGGTAAAGGTTAATTCAATTTTCTCAACTAAATATGAAACAAATATTAAATGGAAAAACAAATTGTGCAAAATATTGTTTTCTGTCCATGACACTTTTGATAAAAACTGTACTGACAGGCAATTTACCTGAAATGTACGCAGTTTTAAGTACACGTATGTATCAATACACTGGCAGAAATCATGATTGGATTACTGCATTTTACATATAAACTACAATAGCCTCCTAATTAGACAGCAATTTTGTCTTCTATTAGCCTCGTGAACGGAATGGCAACTCAGCATCTCAGACTATGACAAAGTATTACTACTCACTGATTCCAATTGGTCTGGAGCACCCTTTGCATTGGTAATTCTGAGAATCTAATCCTTTTTCATTTGAAATCTCTGTTAAGATTGCCATCAAGGCATGTGTTCTCTGTAAATGATGAAGAATGAGACAAAGAAACTCAAACAAATATTGTGCTCAGGCTGTACAGGAATGTTATAACCAAACCAGTGACAGTTAAATCTCTGCATGCATGGTTCATGACATGATCACAATATTATTAAAATTCAATTATCAACCGCATCCTAATTACTAGTACTCCCCTAGTTGAGAGTTTATGACAAATATCGAAAACTGCGAAAATCCTGATGTAAGCACATCTATAGTTGATGGAGAAATCTATTTAAGACAAACTGTGAAAATCATTGTGATAAATTGCTTCATTCACTTTTATTGTATTGGTAATCTGTCGTGCTTTTATTTTTATTTTTTTAAAATGAGAAGCCAAACAGATAAGGTAATAGATGCTAGTCATGTTGGCTTGTTGAAAACGGTGACTTAGGGGGTCAAAATTGAGGTGTATGTCAAGAGGTCACATAAAAGGCACCCTATGGAGATGGTTTTGCGAAACAGTATAGCGGCATACATGAAGTAACAAATTGATAACAGTGGCAAGTTGTTTAAAAATGAGACAATTCCAAGCGGAGACAACGGTGAATGATTCAAATGTACTGTTACTTAAAGTAAATTTAAATCATGAATGAATCATCTCAGTGTTTTTTCATGTGTGGAAGTTTGAGTTTAAATCCAAATATGTACTAAATATAAATCGTATCTATAAAATAGTTAATTAGACCTGGGCAGGACTTCCATTGAGACAGGTGGCCATAAAATTGTAGTGGTCACTGATATACAAATTGAAAACTAAATTGTCCTGAACTTCACATTTCTCGAGATTTTGAATGTTTACAAATTATGCTAATTAGGTTTCAATTATGGAAAAAAAGAAGGGGTAGGTAGACTTGTTTCCATGAACACAATGCCATCAGCCATTTTGTGAAAGGCCGGTTACTGGAATACATTTCTGTACTCTTGACATCTGTCACTCCTTAAAACCCAATATATGGTTTATTGCAGTGAATATTAACCTTACAGTGCCTTAAATTAACCATGATCCTTAGCAGTGCCTTAACATTTCCCATGCTCTCTTGCTGAGTTAGTATGCATACATGTACATGTAGAAATGAAACTTACAGGATCTGTGCTTATAGAAGCTAAAGACTGGGATAGAGGAACGACTTCAAAATCACCGCCTATTGACACTCTATTCTTGTCTTCTGGTTTCTCATTTCCAGCCTGATTAGGGAAAGTGAAATTAATGATTATGTATTTGGAACCAGACCACTTCCGGCTTTTGTAACCCTTAATAGTTCTGTTGAGACTCTTGAATTCTTTGACTGTAGCATCAACTGCATGTATATAAGCAAACTCATGGAATGACTCCTTAAACTAGTTCCACCATAGAGGGCAGCATTGTATTGTATCCCATTAGGTCTCCACTCTAATACTGACAGAATGTACGCTATATCTAAAAGGCTATGTGAACCAATGACCTTCTAAGTAAGAACATGTTCTTTTTTTTTTGAAAATGAGAGTATGTATCGATTTTGCTCTATTAGAAACACATAAACAAAATCAAGTTTTGTTTGAATTGGAACTAAATTTGGATTTGATTTGAACTAGATTTGTTATTAATTATATATTTTGCATAAAGATACATTTGCTTCAAAACAATTAAATATGGTATTGTACTGTGAAATACTTTATTTTAGCTGGAATAAATTTTCACTGAAAAAAAAATTTGGGTGCTTTGTATGGAATTTATTTTCATTGATTTTTGACAAGTTGAATGTAAATTATAGGAGAAATGGTATATTCGGTGGATTTTATTTTCACTGAATCATTCCATCAGCAAAAATTAATTCCAAGCGAAAATAAAGCATTTTACAGTAGCTCAAATTCCTGTGAAATTGCCTCATTGGAGCAGGATTGGATACAAATATTAAAGAGTGGTTGCGACATCATGTTAGACTCATTGCAATGTACACAATGCACATAAAATACATTGTTTCCATAAAATTCAAACACTCCCTGCAAAACGACTAACACCCTTAGACAGTTTTGTGAAACTTGGGAAGTAAAGATAAGACAACACTATACATGTATGCTACTCCAGACTTTTTCTGATCTAATGAATGCAACAACAATACAAGAAACAAATAAGCTTTAATATTCTGGTCTAGAAAGAAGATGTGGTCTTAATTAAAACTCAAAAATATTACAGCGATGTAATTTAACGATGAGAATGCACGATATATATATGCATACATTGCAAGGATAGGGTGTTCACTTTTGAAGAAAAATGCAGGGTTCGATCCAAAGAAAAGCTGAAGAGAAGAACACAGTGTCGACTCAGGCTAGATCAGCTCAGAATCAGAGGGTTTGTCATTGACACAGTTCAGTATTTAATTCGAAGATGAGAAGTAAAAGAGAAGTAAAATATAAATTACTACCACTTCTGAACAGAGAAATAGCTGAACCCACTGATACAAAAGGGGGTTCCCGAATTGATAGCGTTTGCACGTTCATCGTTTGTAAGTTTTCCACATATCGCGTGACCTGGGGTCAACAAACCAGAAGGTAGGACAAATTTTGAACGTTCCGAACGCGCAGTCGCAGTGCACCAAACATCACTGTTTCCAATTCATAATGTAAAAGCTCCCCTGAAATACAACTGCCATCATCTTAAAAGTAACTCGTACTAGCTTCTAAAAAGTTACACACTATTCTGTCTCGAGCATGCAAATTATCTTTGGCTATAGCGTGATGTTTTCATATTTTTTTGTGGGTATTTTGGGAGTGGCGGTCATATTTTACTCTGTGAAACACATACATACCATCTCTATTTCAGTCCATTTTCTCTTTTTCAACTGAAAATCCATGTTTCTCAGCTGTCTTCTAGCTGCCCTCATTTGTACCCACCCACACTCACTCCGCTATCTTTAAAAAAATGTTTAAAATATGCCGCTGACTTTTGTCTGGTTGCATGTCTACCGGTGCTCTTTAGACTTTTTATATTTTTGTCCTACCCTCGCCCGTTGCTAGGTAGATTGTGGGAATGTATGTGTGTTATGCTAATGCATGATGGGAAATTTAACAAAGATTGCTACCTACCTGCTCCTTTACTATTTCTTTCTCTGGTAACTGATCTAACAATTCTGCCATGGTAGGAGAAGGTCTCTGTCGACTTGCTGGTGCATAGTTCTGCAGTAAACTCCCAAAACTTTCACCTGGAATATATCAAATTGTCAAATTTCCATTATGAAATAATAATACATTTGAAAATTGGAATTGCAGCCAAGGTGAAATACAAAAAGAAAAAGTTATCTGTAACATTCACTGTCCAACACAAAAAAAAAAAAAGATTTATTTTGGAATTGATTTGACTTTGAAGCTGTGATCAGTAGCAAAAAGCATAGCGTAACTATTACAACCTTGTCCATTGAAAACCTAGATTTAAATAACATACGTATGTATGGATGGACAAACTAACTATGCAATATCTTTTTTTTCCATAGAAGAAGTGAGTATAAAATTTCTGAAACAATGTAATAATATATTATTAACATAACAAATTTTTCAAACTGAACATATCTGTATTCTAAAAAAAACATAGATAAATTAGTGAAACCTTGCCTACAAATCTGCATGAAACAATTATACTTATGGTTCAGATGTAACATATCAAACATACCAATTTGATCCCAAAGTAAAAAAGAAATACGCAAATATTGAAAGACAAACACTCTAACAATGTAATGCTAAAGCTCAATGTTCAATTCATAATGAATTCTGTGACCTACCTCTTTCTCTTATAGGTGATCGAATCTCGGTATCCGGGGTTAGTTGCTTCTCGAACGTTGATGACCAGCCACTTCTTGCAATGAGACTGTTACCCACAGAAGCTGTCAGTTCATCATCTTCGCCAACAGCAACACCAGTCTCGATATACTCTTCTCGGTGATTGTTTTGACATTCCACGTACCCCTGTGTTGCAACATCAGCATCCTGTCGGTTTGCTGCGACAGTCACTTCAGCCACTGCATCATTCACCTGTGGTAAAGCTTTGGATTTTGCTGGTGTGAAAACCCTAGACATTCCAAGATGACGGGGAGCTTCTGTAAATTTCGCTTCCTGCGCTCTGTCTTTGTCTTCATCTGATTTGTTCGCCTCCATCTCCAAATTGGCATCATCAGCATTTCTCTGTTCTATTTCCTTATTCTCTTTCAACAACTTTCTCTTCAAGTCCTCTCTGCCTCTTTGTGGACTATGTGTTAAGATGATGTCATGGTCTGGAGGGGTTGCTAGAAGACTACTGCTCATTTCACATTCTCTGTAGTTGAAATCTCCGGTGGATGGACTTCCAGACTCATCTTGTGTCAAATTAGCAGCTTCCATTGTTCTGGTTTTATTTTTTGTTTTCTTTCCATGGGCTGTTTTGACTGGTATGATTGATACTGGATTTGAGATTGATGACAGAGAGTCTGCTTCATCTGAAAAAACAAACAAAAGACAGTTGGTCTTCATCTCACAAGTAGCATGTATCCATTAATTATTTTAGCTGCTTGAAACGTAAAAAGGAATTTGTATTTACATGTACTGTACTTAAAAAAATTGAATGAAAAGAAGGAATTGATTACTGGTTCATTAGAAGAAATAATGCATATGCGCTTAGAATTGCCACATCATTAATAAAAAAATGTGCACAAGCGTTTTCATAATTTCATCAAATAAATAATACTATATTTACTGCCAAAACATCATACCCTAATATTTTCATGAAAATGCAAACTATATAATGTACAAATCTTAAAAAATACTCAAAACAAAAAAACAAAATATAATTTTTAAGTTAAATTGAATTCATGAATGTGGAAAATAAAAACAATCAAGTGAAGATGTCACACAATTAACTCTTCAAGCACTATAATTTTTCTTGGCAAAATTTTCATGCAACATTTTGCCAGTTTTTATGGTCCAAAAAGACATAATTTTCGATTGGTTAAAAAAATAAATACAAATTCCGAAGAAAATGATGTGGGTTTAAAATTTGTTTATGATAGCACTTATTTAAAAGTTGACTTTGGCACTCAAAGGGTGAAGGTCATGTTGATAAGGGTGAAATAAACAAAACATGCTTTGAAACGAAAAAACAAAAACAATTCTCCATTCAACTATATATGATGCACTTCAGTGGTTTGTGAAATTGCCAAAAGAATGTGGGAAAATGTGGGAAGCGCACAGAATGACAAGAATGAAAACAAACCCTTATTAAACTTACCAGTGGGGACAGCACCAATAGATACAAGAACTAGTTGGTCTCCCTCAACTTACCAGTGGGAGTAGTGCCAATAGATACAAGAACTAGTAGGTCTTTTTAAACTTACCAGTGGGGTAGCATCAATAGATACAAGAGCTAGTAGGTCCTTAAACTTACCAGTGGGGGTAGCACCAATAGATACAAAAGCCAGTGGGGTTTCTTCAATGTCTTCTAAACCAGCTAACTTGAGTGGAGTAAATCCCCACTGATTGAGAACAGATGAGTTATATGAAAGTTGGAAGACAAAATCCCCCATACCTGGAGAGGAAGAAGAAAAAATCAATTTATTTTTTTTCTGCTTAAATGCTGAAAACTCATCAGCATTGCATATTTTGCAGAATAATGCATGCTTTTAGTAAACACACAACATAATAGGGTTTACATTCTTCCTGCATTCAACAATTCACATAATTGATGAATTAACCAGAACTTCGAACCATCTGACTATTTATCAGGTACTCTCTACCTAATATCTTTTCACATATTATTTGCAATTTTACATGCATAAATTCTGGCCAAAATACGAAAATTTTGCATTTTCCGTCAATTTCATGGATTTCAACAATATCTTAAAATTAAACAGACAGAAGTTTTAATTATCAGATTTTTGATGTTGACTTTTCTCAAACTTTTCATTGGCGTACTATTTTGGACCCAATTAATTTCCTAAGGAGACTGCTGTACTTGTTTTTTCAAAAATATGTTTTGCAATGCGTTATCAGAATGTCAAATTAATTTATAGAAATTAATTTATAGAAGTATTCGCCCTCATCACCTGGCAGCTAATATTCTTTTTGAACTGGATACGGCTTTTGCTGCCCGAAGTCATGTGATAAAAGCACCAGAGCTTGCGAGGCGGTGAGCCATACGACCAAGGGAAGCAAAAGCCATATCCAGTCCATAAGTTTTATCAAATACCTTAAAAGATGTAATTAATATTTTACCATGGCGTGACATCAAACACATGATGTAATTTAGAATGAAATTTTGTTTTGATTGATGAAAGCCGGATGCACTGAGCCAGGCGTGATATGGAAAATTATTGCCCCGATATGAGGGCACACTTCCTATACCGTTACACGGCCAAGCAATATGAGGTATATGATAATATTTCTTTTTGTCATTCATTCAAAGACACAACCAGGTGCTGAAAATTTTCTTTGTTATCTATAAATTATATACTATGGTTATCAACTAAATTTAGTTTAATGTTTAAAAAAACAATTATAGTACTCTAACAATACATCAAACTATTCAGTAATTTGGAGAAAGGAAGAAAAAATTCATTATATAATATTTTCATCATTATTTTGGTGCTGGAAAATCACATAAGATTGTGGGTAGGCAGTCAGATAGACCCTTCTAATGACCCAAGCATTCATTTACATAAACACAAGAGAATAATCACCTGCGAATGCGGCAAATGTCATTGTTTGCAACAAGCGTCTACCCATGAGCCTTTGTGTTTTTAGCGTGTGTTGTTATCGTCGCTTGGGACTCAATTCCCGCGTGTGCACCGGTTACGACCCGGTCACCTTTCACAAAATAAAAACCCTCATAATTTTTTCCATATTTTTATACAAAATTTCCATCAAGACCTGTAGTCCATTAGAAATTATGTTGATTTGGTGCAAAATTATAAAAAAAAAAAATAGAAAAATAAATAAAACAAATGTTTTAGCGCTCAAAGTTGTAAAATAGATCGTACCTTGCAAATAGTTTTTCATGATGTGTGGTTGTTCTGAGTCTCTAAGGAAACTGTATCCATGGTAATATTGTTGTAGTTTCTTTTTGTCCAGCAGCATAGCAGCTAAGTAGCTCTCTATCAAGCCATCGTTTAGCGCCAACCGAATCCAAGCCTACCAGAGTAATGTACAAAAGTATTTTATAGCACATATAGTTCATTTACAGAACCATCAAAGTACAGTGAACTTCATTAAGGCATGAATGTTTTTTTATATCAAACAACTTGACCAATCACAATGTCTTAGCGAATACATACCACCCATATATAATATCTTTTACTTACATACTGTAAAGGGGTTAATTATTCACTGGGTTTTAATTTTACTTATTTCGCTGACTGGAAAATGTGCTAAATTAAAACCTAGTGAATATGTAAAGTTTAGCATAGAACACTGAATATGCCTAAAATGGTAAATCAGCGAAATTTAAACCCAGTGAAAATTAGTCATTTAACATTACTTTTAAATTTTTCATTTACATTACTCATGGGTAATGGGCATTACTAAATGGATTCTACAACTGTATCACAAATGATTGATTAGATAGCTGCTTGACCTTGTGTCCGTACAAACTTGCCAGATCGATAAGAATTTCAGATGCGTAATTTTGAATGGCTTATTGGTCCTAAATTATTCTAACGACCTTGCATAAAATATTTTAATGTTACAGCATTATTTTTTGGCAGATTTGCATACATTTTACAAAGTTCCATCTGTCTGACACTGTAATAGTGTGCATGAACTCCTTGCTAAACCTGCCAATGCTGATTGGTATCCTATAATTTGTGCTCTTGAAAAAGCAATTATTTTTACTACTGAGATATTTTTTACATTTTTTATGACCCAAAAAGATTGCCCAGGTGCTGAAATATTGCCAAGGGTCGATCTTTAACAGTGGGTGATTTTTTTAATCAATTACGGTGCAACACTTGATGAGAACAAACAGGTTGTTGTTGTTTTTTGCAAAAATAAAAATGAAACTCGCACCTCACCTTTTTATTTGTTTGCACTGGTGGAGGAAATGTTTGTTTTTTGTTTCAGAGGATGTTTTGTCTATCGAAATCAAAAACATTATTTAATGAATGTTGAATCTTAATACAAAAACAAGCAGCCTCTCGGCTTAGATAGCTCCGCTGTTAGCAATGCACATTCAGGGCTCGAAATTAATTTTTAAATCTGGTGGTCCATATGAACCACCACCCCTATTTTTTGGTGGTCCAAACCAGGATGTATGTGGTGCAGTATAAAATTAATAAAATGTGTCAATATTTTGGGGTATGTCATTTATTAAGTAAAAATGTACTGTTACAAATCAGTGTCAGTATCACTTTCATTTTGATTGTTTTGTGCATGTGGTCCATATGGCTTAATATCTGGTCTTCGTGTACGCCTACCTGCATTCCACCAAGTCATAATAGCAGGTTGTGGGTTAAATTTATGCAATGGTTGCCCTAACAGTTTTATTCTTAATAGTTCATTCAGTTTTTCTGTTGTGAGACTGGATCTCCAGTCAGTTTTAATTTTACCCATTATTGAAAACCCTCGCTCACACTCACTAGTGTGAATTGGAATAAGAAGCACAATCTTCACAAGGGTGAGTATATTAACAAACTCTTTTGGTATGTGTCTAAGAAGTCTCTGCCAGAAGTCTAGGTAAGTTAAATGTGGCTGTTTTATTGCAGTGTCTCTGAGAATCAGTTTCAGTTGCCTCCATTCCAATGGGATATCATTTATTTTACAATTCTGCCTAATGAGCAAATCCTGGAAATGTGTTGTGAGTTGCTGTATTTCTATTTGGCCATACTCCAGGAGATCACCAACGTTATCAATGGGCCAATTTCTCTGATTAATTACTTTGCAGTCATTTAACACCTGGTTGTCACTGAAAGATGTAAACCTAACTTCCAGTTGATCAATAGTGTTTTGTATTAATGTCCTATTATCTCTGTTCACCATTTCATCATATTCTTGCTGAGTTAGTGTTCCACCTCGTTCAGCTCTACATG